CCCCCCACCAAAAAGATTTAATTATCTTAGATTTATTATCTTGTAAAACTCACCAAATTAAATTATTAATATTTGGATGATCCAAGAAGTCTGTTGAATTCACACAACTGTGCATGGAGTGGACCATCAGGAGACTTCTTTTTTTGACTAATCATACTGTAAACATTGCTCCCTATCTACAAACACATATTAATATATCCATCGTTTATGTGGCATGCATATACTGGTGATGTTCATATGTTAAAAAAATACATCACTAATGTGTGAATGTCACATAAACAGTGGACATATTAACATGTACCTCTCGTATATAGGAGAGCATTACTGCTGTAAACATACACTGCATTAGGCCATAATTAGTTTACTTATTTTACACTATTATTACTGTTACTTTAGTTATCTTGTACTAAGTTATTCGGTTTTGCTATGAAGCCAACAGTTGGCTTCATAGTGGAGTCAACCTTCTATAAACAACAAATAAACCTATCATATAAATAAAATTATATTACTATTATTCAAGTAATCAGAGAATATGGTAGGTTTACCTGTTGTATATAGAAGGTTGGCTTCACTATGGAGCCAACTGTTGACTTCATATTAAAACCGCTAAGTTATTATATAACTGATCTCTATAGGCTTCTTCGTTTCACACTATAATCTTGGTATGAAAATATATCTAAGATTATCACATACGTAATTTTTTCTTTTTATGCGTGTGTGTATGTTAATAATAATGGCAACAAATGTGACAACTGATAAACACGTACGAAATTGAGGAAAATTGAAGGGTGGAATTTCATTTTTAATTGAGAATACTTTATTATGTTCTTCTAATTTGGTGGGTATCATCAGTTGGTGGCGGATTTCACTAATCTGTCACACTTATTGAGTTTTCAAATTGGAATAAGTTAACAAATTTGGTTTCGTCAAATGACATGACAACATCAGATCACCCTATTTGTATTGTATTTGTATTACTAATTATTTTTATTAAGCAAAGAATTATGCGTTTTCACCCCGCAATCTATGCGTAAGGGATAATAAATTCACACACTACCTTTTTTTTTTTTCATAATATCTTTTAAAGTATTCATTTTATTTTTATTTTTTATTTTTCTTTTGGCCACCGACAAAAACAATAACACAAATGAGATGCTGTGATTATAATTTGGTTGGCCTAAGCTAACATGGGAAAATTTATATTTAAGTGTTTGAGAAATAGATAATAAATACAAGGGTCATTTTGATTCATTCATTCTATAATAATAAATTATTAATATTAATAATATGGCTCAGTTTGGCTATTCATTAATAGTAGAAAGTTTATTGTATTATCATATAGATAGTTGATAGCAGATTGAATTAACTAATTCGACTAGCGAATTGTATTAGTTAATTATAATTTAGTAAATAGCTATTCATATGTTATATTGTCGTGTAATTTTTTTAATCTTCTCTGATTAAAGATGCTTTTATATATGTTGAACAGAATTAGCATTTCAGCTTCTACATTTCGTTAAGTTTTGTAATCTTTAGATCATCATGTAATCGTCGGAATAATTAATTTAACGGTTAAATCTCAACGTAATGATTCCGTAATCCGTAGCATCTTCCAAAAGCTAATTAATTTTTTTAACCAAATAAACTATTTAGCGGATTCGAGAGGTGAAACCTCTAAAAGGAGTTTCTTTATAATAACTCAATTTAATAGGCAATTCCCATTTAGTTATTTTGTCGTTTTTATATCTTCTTAGGTTCGAGAAAATATTGAAAAGTACATTTTCCTACCATTAGATTGCAATTCAACTGATAACAAAATGTGGATATATATATATATAAGAAAACTCATTTGCTTTGTGGTGGACGTCAATTTTGGCTATCCATAAATTACGCCATGCCCGTTATTTTTATTTATTATTATGATATTAATTTTTAATTATCCATTGAATATTTGCATTTGAAAATGAACGTAACAGTAAGGAACTATTGTATGAAAAAACAATATTCAAATTGAAATTGTTTATTAAATGAAAATTCATACAATGATTCATTTTTTTAAAAAAAAACAAATGCGGCAAAATTTTAAAATTGGTCCTGTAAATTGGTCACCGTCCAAAAAACTACCCCTATATTGACCACTTTCAATTGAAGTCCTATAATTTGTCGATTTCATCAATTTTGGTCTTTTTTATCCGGACCCTAGATTAAAAAGTGATGTGGTATGACGTGTCAGTTTTTTAAGGTTACATGGCGTGATTATGATCTAAGTGGCACGTCAATTTTGGTCCTATAATTTGTCGATTTCATCAAATTTGGTCTTTTTTTCATGCCACGTCACTTTTTAATCCAGTGTACGGATAAAAAAGGACCAAAATTGATGAAATCGACAAATTATAGGATCTAAATTGAAAGTGGTCAATATTCATTTGTCCTAATAATTTTTTCGTTCAAAATCGTTTATAAATAACTGGACTATTATTAATCCATAAGTTTCAACATGAATACTCGAGAAATGCTATAGTCTCGTCACGGAACTATTTCGTTGAATTTTTAACTGTTAGATCATTAAGCAGCCGTCGTAGATAGTTGGTCTAACGGTTACAAATTCGACGGAATGGTTCCGTATCGAGACCGTATGAATCTCCCTGAATACTCTAGTACACTCTAAAATTTACGACACTACTTTTAAGTTTTCCTTAATAATAATTAAGCGAAAACAAATAATATAACT